AGAGAGAGAGAGAGAGAGAGAGAGAGAGAGAGAGAGAGAGAGAGAGAGAGAGAGAGAGAGAGAGAGAGAGAGAGAGAGAGAGAGAGAGAGAGAGAGAGAGAGAGAGAGGATAGTAATGAACTGATTGCCATTGCTCAGAGAGAGAGAGAGAGAGAGAGAGAGAGAGAGAGAGAGAGAGAGAGAGAGAGAGAGAGAGAGATTACACGATCTGCGGTTGATCTTACTCTTGTAATAGTATAACTAATACGAGGACCAGAACCTTAATTTATTGATTTCAATTCATGCATATGGAAGCTTTGACAAGGTGGTAGTTTATTTGTCACAATGCTATCTATAGCCTATAAGAACTTGTTGTACATGTCAAACAAAAGAAAGTTTAAAAGTGGCCGAATGGTTTGCGTTATTTATACAATAAACTTTTCAAATCTTTTTTTTTTTTTTTGAAACGAAACTTTTCAAATCTGGTAGCTTTTATATTCTAAAAATATGATGGTTTTTTTAATGAAAAGAATCCGTGGAGTGTGAGGTTTCGAAACAAATTTGCTGAAAATCTAATTGTTGCCTACGAATATATATATATATATATATATATATATTATCCAACTAAAGAATTCTCTTTTCATTTATCTTTTAGAATATTTTTTTTTCCAACTTGATCGTAGTAGTCACAATGAGATAAAAACTAAAAAATAAAATGCTTGTTTGGTAATGTTTTCAAAATTATTTTGTTTTCAGTACAAAAGTAAAAATGAGGTTGTTTTGAGAATCATTCTTGTATCGATTCTGAAATTGTGTTTAGTTGATTTTTTAAGAGATTATTTTAAGTATGATAAAAAAGTGAAATCGTGTTTGGTTATAATCATTAATTAATATATTATAACATTGTTGATAAAGTACTAGAAAATGAAAACAGAAAAGGAAAAATAACTTTCAACCGTTTTCTAATTCATTCACAAAAACCATTCTCATTGTTTTTTATTTTTGTTTTCATTTTCAAAATATTTACTAAACAAACACGGTTTGTAAATAGTTTTCATTTTTGTGTCTCAAAAGACGTGCAGAAATGGATTTGTTATTAGTGAGGGCTTAATTCTTTCTTCAAATAAATTAAGTTTTTTTTTAATCTTTCTTTTGGATAACTTAATAAAATATATGTAGAGTTGGGAGGGCTCAAAGCGTTTCACTTCAATTTCTATGGGGGCTAATTGAAATGTATATAGATTCTTTTTTGATAAAAAAAAATGTGTTTAGTTTTGAGAGGGAATAAAATGGTTTTTCTCAAATTTTATGGGGGGTTACTTTGTTGATTTAGCAAGAAAACATACTACCTTTTAAAATGATAGAAAATGTGAGTAGGGTCTTCAGCCCTCTGTCAATAGTACCTAGCTCCTTCCATGAGGGTTGGCAATTACTCTCAACCCCCTAAAGATATGTAAGCGAATTCTCTTCGAATTGGTACCTAAACCCTAGCTAGCCTCAAAGAGTTTTTTCTTGTCGAAACCTCATTTGACTTTGTGAATATCAAAATGAAGAATCAAACAAAGTAAAAGTTGGTGGAAGGACGATTTTGGAGCTGAGCAGTAAGATTTCGGTACCAAACCCATCCTCAAAAATTTTGGATTACAATATATGTTGCATTTATATGTTGCACTTACAAAATTTACAAAGTAATTTTGTATTTATAGTAAGATTTACAAAATTTTGAATTATGTTGCATTTATAGTAAGATTTACAAAATTTTGAATCAAACAAAGTAAATATATGTTGCATTTATTATTTTTTAAAATTTATTTTTAATTGTGTATTTATAAGTAAAATAAGGGTATGATAGTAAATTAATATTAATATTAGGAATGAGAGTCTCAATCCCAAGGGGGGCATGGGAGTGCCAATCCCATTCCTCAATCTTAAATTTGAGTGGGGCCCACTAATCTCACTTCCATTCTAAGAAAAAAAGAGCAAGTAAACATGGATTGATTCCAATTCTTCAATCCTGATAAGTAAACATGCCATAAGAAAGATATTTATATAGGTTTTAGTCTCCACTCTTAAGTAAAATCTGTCCTACCACTGAAAGAAGCCATATGGTCGTTATTGATCATTGGGGTCTTGTACTAGTCGGCTATGCCGACTGGGCTCGTTCACTTTGCGGATTCGAGTTTTCAATTTGAGCTGAGATGTTTAGAGAGTTTTTCACTGTAGCAGAAAAAGTTAGATGTGACATTTTCTGAGAGCTTTTTACTGTAGAAACTTAAAACTGAAAACTCGAATCGGTAAAATGAATGAGGCCTAATCGGACAACAATAATTTTAGATAAAATGGTACATCAGAAATCAGAATGTTTACTAAGTGGTTATTTATATTTTTATCGTTTCTTTCTCTTAATTTTCACATTTTTTTATTTTCATGAAACAGATTTCATCCATAGACACGCATTAAAATATAAAAAAATCAGGTAAATTGCTTTTTTTTTACAACCTTTTGAAATAAATGGCCGAGCTTTTTTATTTTTTAATCAAATAGCCAAACTTTTTTTATTTTAGCAAAATATTTGTTTTTTTCAGTAGTCGATCAATGATTGACTGATTTATTATTATTTACCAATGATTTATCATTAATAAACATGTAATTTGTTGATTGAAATTGATTATTATTAATTAATTTCAGTTAATTATTAACTAATATTGATCAATACTGAAAAATCATGGAGTTAATTATTGATAAATTTAAGTCAATCAGTAATTGACCGCTAAGTCAATTAGTGATTGGCTACTAAATTTATAAAATAAACAACCATTTTACTAATTTTACAAAATATCAGTAATTTTGTTTAACAAAAATTCTTAAAAAAGGGCCATATATATATTTTAAAAATTAAATATACAAACTGTGATTAACCAACTAGGTCTAAGTGTACATCAATAAAGAAGAGTTTTCTTTCCTCATAGAAAAAGAAGAAGATTATTTATTTCATCTCGTCTCGTATCTCTTTTGTCTTATAATATTTCACTCCATCGGACATAGATTTAATGTCGCACAATCTTTTGATCGGGCAAGAATTATAAAGTTTAGAACCTTCAACCCATCTTAAAACTTGTTCTGGGAAGGGGAGAAAAAAAATTCCTAACCATGATACACCACTTCATTACTGGCAAAAAGAGAGTTTAGTTAATACAAGTTAATTTTAAGGGAAAAATTATTTTAATACTCTCTATTATAACAAGACATCTCAGTCGTAGTATACCTTTAATAATATTAAAGTGGTACTTTCACATTTAACGAAACATTTTTTAGATAAATTTTTAACACGTATAATGTCTAACTGCACTTTTCATAATTAAATAGAAACTAACAACTTTAAAATATCTTCTAAAATTTTTTTAACTTATTCTAATTTTTTATTTTTAAATGTTTAAATTATTTTCAGATTTTTTTTAAAAAATTATTAGTTTGTTGTTAATTAGTGAGAATGGTAAAATGAACATTTTAGATCTTAGAAATTAGTCTCAAGGTATCAAAAAATATTTTTTAAAGGAGAAGGTACAAGTTTAATATTATTAAAAACACAACATACATACGAGATATTTTGCTATAATAAAGAGTACTAAAATGATTTTATCCCTAGATTTAATAGAAAAAATCCAAAAAGTATTCCTTCAATTTTGTCTAAATACAACTTTTATCCTTAAGTTTTATAAAATTCAAAAAGTATCCCTTGTGTTTTTCAACCTATACAAAAAGTATCCCCTATTTTAACTTTTGAAGTTTAGTTTTTTTAAATGGCCTAAGTTGCCCTTAGATATCCCCTATATTGTCCAAATTTATGTTGGGCTATACCAACTTCTAAACACCCTTCTAGATTTTTTTTTTTTTGAAGTAAACCTCTTAGAAAATTTACAACATCAATTCGAACAAGTTTTTTCTTTTTTGCCTTTTTTTTTTTTTCATTTTAGTAAGAAAGATAAATCTTTTTTGAAAAAAGATATAATTCTGTTTTTTTTTTAAAATTAATTATCCAAACATGACGAATTGATTTACCAATATAAGGTGAAAGTGTATTTTGTATTGTGTAATAAACCAAAATACCAGAATTACCCAGTACTACTACGTGACAAAAAGTTTACATATATTTTTTTTAAAGATTTCACTTCCTTATTAAAATCGAAAAAAAAAACTTGTTCAAATTTGTGTTATAAATTTTCTAAGAGAGCCATTTCAAAGAATAAGAAGAAGAAAAAAAAATCTAAGAGGGGAATTTAGAAGCTAGTATAACCTAGCACAAATTTAAATAGTATATAAGATATTTAAAAACAAAATGATCATTTTAAAAGAACTAAACCAAAAAAATTAAAAAATGATACATTTTGTCTTTTTTTTTTTTTTTTAAAAACACAAGGAATAGTTTTTAAATTTTAAAAAACTTAAAGCTAAATTTTGTATTTAGACAAAACTGAAGATATATTTTTTGAATTTTCTTGTTTTAATAATATTTGAGCCCTTTGCCGGTTTATTTTTTATTACCATCAATTAGTGCTGGAACTTCAGACGGGCTGCCCGTGACCGCCCGAAAAGCTCGAGGTTTTGCCCGAGTCCGAGCCTGAGCCGCTCGAGAATTCCGGGCCGCCTGTCCGAGCCCGAATTTCACCTTGAACGGGCCGCGGGCTTGTATTAGGCGGTCCGAACCCGCCCGAATTGCCCGAATTATTTAAACTTTTTTTTAATATTAAGTTATATATATATATATATTAGTATTGCAATTTATATTTATATATATATATTACAATTTGAAATGAACACATGAACTATATAAAAAAATTATTTCTTTATTAATTTTTAAATTTGTAATT